CAACTCCCAGAATTCCCCAGCCAGCCATGGGAGTTGAAGTCCACTCATCTTAAAGTGGCCAAGTTTGGACAACGCTGGCATAGGGGAATCAAAAAAGTCAAGATGGAAGCTGCAACTTTGCAGTCATACCATTTCCCACTGTTTGCATATTTCTTGATACATGTATAAAATGGGTGGAGCTTCGATTACACAGATGCAACCAGCATCTTGAACCCCTCTTCCCGTAAACACCTCTGTACACATTTTTGAATATCTAGCACCTCAACATGGCAGGCAACAATGGTGCTAAAGGCCTCAAAGAAGTGACTTGAAGGTCATATTCAGTGCTAGATTACCACCTCTGCCCCAAGGAGATGCTTACTAATGAGGCAATACTCTTAATGTTCACAAAAACGGTTGTGCTATCTGAATATATGAATATAAATAGTTAAGGGCTAAATCACTTTAATATGCAGGCAGTAAATCAGATGAAACCCCCCAAGCGTTCATCCATCTAACCATCCATCCGTCTGTCTGTCCGTCTATAAGAAACCTCAGCATAGCCATAAGCATTCTCATATTGCTTTACCCTTGTAAATTCTCTCCACTGTCAGTTATCACAAATAGCCATCTGTACCATTTATTCTACAGCAGTGAATCCCGGGAAGGATTAAACTGCCACTCAGTTCAATTCATTTATGGTCACTAACCAGTACAACGTATTCGGTTTTATCTGGCAAAGCAAATAATTAAAGGTCTTGAGGCTGAAACAATCTCAATTTATTCTCAAACTTTAAATTAGCCACTCATGGTCGTATAAGAATGTTGTGTAAATGAGAAGAGATCAGAAAACTGGCCCATCAATCGAAACCACTTTAGGGTTAATTATGGAGATTAAATTTGATCCAGAAGCCAAATGCTCTTTTAAAAAGAAAAGCAAGTAGGCAGCTCAAAAGGAAATGCATTTCAGAAGCCTCAGCCTTTGGTGAGGACAACTGATGACCTTTTTCTTCTTTTTCTTTGTTCCTATCCAGGTTTGTTTATCCTGTCATCTTTGTTCCTTTGTTTTGTGTTTCTTGTATTGTTGTTTTTAAATGAATTCTAAAACAAAATACAGCAAAATACTATTGTTTTTTATTGTTTTTAAAATTTGTAAACCACTCAGAGTCACTGGGAGTCAGTTAGCATATAAATTTAATAATACATTATTACTGTTGTCGTTGGTCACACAGTCAGCCAGTTGTTCAGGCTGGATTTGGCATTTTTATCCACCCTTCAAGTCCTTCCCAAGGACCTGGGATAGGCAGATGTTATTGTTTGATGGTTGTTGTTGTTATTATAACAATTTGTAACTCCAAGCGGATAAAATTTATTGAACATGCATTCTTCAGATTCCTCAGTTAGAGGAATCTGCAGAATCTGACAATATCACAATACAAGCTTCATCCCTTGTGTTTGTGATTTCATGATGCAAGTGCAAAGGGGGCAGCTTATATTGCACTGATGCAATGCTCATTTTGACATCCTTCCCTTGTCATAGAATTCTTCTGTTCACAGTTCCTAGAAATCACCTATTCATGGCATACTATATAAACAAAAAACAAAAAACCCACAAATGTTGCTTAACTGAAGTCAGATTAGCTGAACAGAAGTCACCAGCTATCCCATGCGAGAAAATTAGACAGAATCACTGAAAATAGCTATGACTGATTTCTTTCTAAATACAGTGGTACCTCGGGATACGAACTGAATCCGTTCCGTGACTCTGGACGTATCCCGAG